TTCTTCTTCACCTGTCAGCAACCATGTGACCTCTTACTCTTGCCATCAATATTCTCAAACCATTACAGCACCACCATGGTTGATCCCAGTTCCCACCATCACCTCCCTTATCCCTTTCCAACTCTGGCCAATCTTAGCATGCTTTTCATCAAAACATCAAGACATTCCCAATAATTTTCAAGTTTTCTTTTGAGTACTATTCAAATATTTTTTGCGATTTTGGTTTTTTTTTCGCATAAGGGATTAGGGGTCCTTTTAATTAATGAACCCATTTAATTTCACTATTATTCTATTTAATTAATATACCCATTTAATTCTTTATTTAGTTTTTGATCAAATAAATTTTATAAGCCATACTTTCTCAAAAATATATATATATATATAAGCCATACATCAGACTATCAGTGACAATGCAACTGTTGTAAAAGAGTCCAATTAGTGGGGAAATAAGGTGGGGATTTTGTAGATGCCAGTGGTCAACGTTCGTTGCTTTGGTATTTTTGATGACTTGACGTTGGCATGCTGCTAGTGAAATGGTTGGTTGCCTCTCAATGTTGATGCTCTTGATGTTGTTGGGTTGGGTAAGGCTGTTTTAGAGGGGTGATGGTGGGGATCTAAAGGTTATTAAGTTATTGGTGGCTAGTAGGTAGGACTTTTTTTTTTTTGGAAGAGGTGGCTAGTAAGACTTATGCAGAGAGTGAGATCGAAAGAGAAAAAATTAAAATAGAAATGTAATTGGTTTAACAAGTTGCAGGTCACCTAGATCAATTTGGGAAGATACATCATATAGTTTGTATTATACTAGAATAACACATAGTTGGGATTAATTTGGGAAGAGTGGCCATAGTAGAGGTGATAAAAAAAATTGGGTCGGGTCGGGCCTTAACACAATTTCTCGTGCCCAAACCCGTAAAAAAGTAGCGGGCTTGTCGGGCCAAAACGGGTTTTTCGGGCTGGGTTCGGGCTTTTTAACTAAAAATGCGTGTTTATGCTTGCCCAAACCCGCCCTATTTTCGGGCCGGGCTAGCGGGTCGGGCCAATGTTGATCATCTCTAAGCCATAGTTGGGATTATTGTTGTGAATTTTTCCTATTATTATTATTATTATTATTATTATTAAATATATATATATATATTATAATTCAATATTAATTATTATTATAATTATTAAATATTAATTATTTATTATTATTATTAAATATTAATTATTTACTATTATTATTAAATATTAATTTTTAATAATAATATTATTATTAAATATTAATTATTTATTATTAAAATAATTCAATATTAAGTATTATTTTTAAGCAGAGCAGATTGAAACAGAGTGTAGCAGAGCAGACAGAGCAAAACAACTCTAAAAAACGGGGTCTAAGGCATTTTGCTTTTATTTGCCAGTTTGGCACCTTTTATACAAGTAAACTAGATTAGACCCGTGCGATGATTAAAAAAAATTATTAGAACGAAATAAATCGTTTCTGTTATTTATTTTCCATACATACTTAAAAATTAGATCATAGAAACATAGAGTATCTTTCATCATAAATTACTAAGTACTCCGTAATAAAATATAAAAATGAAAGTCAATCTGATCTAATTAAACTATATGCATACTTATAAATTAGTTTATTTTTGTATAACAAAAAACCATATTATTAGTACATGACTTCATAGCTAAGTTGCTTGCACAATTCCTTAGTAAAAACACACGTTCAAATAAAAGCAAAACCTTCAAAAAAAAAAAAAAATCGTAATTACCTAAAATGTTTTAGCTCAATATCAATTTATTTATTCCAACCAGAAAAAGAATTTTATTTATTGATTGACACAGTCAAAAGATTGAAATAAAAATGATTAATAAACAAATCCTAACAAAAAAAAAAACACCCAAATAGATATATAACATCATAAGTGCATTAGGCGGGGAAATTTTTTACGAGAGAGTTACATATGCAGTTTGAGATGTGGATGATGTAAGCAATTTCCTATTTTAGTAATAGTTATTTTTTTTTTTTTTGAGAAAAAACGTTAGGACGGAATATATTAATGTAAATCGGCCTCCGCCAGAGCAACAAGGCTTTGCGGAAAGAAGTCCATATAAACATGTTCAAAATTTTCCCGAGTATCCCACCTCGCTACAAGGTGAGCAACGGAATTCCACACCCTTTTAACATGAGTAATGCTAAAGTTTTCAAAACTTGTAGCAAGCTTGAAAATATCATCATACACAAGACACAAAGTAGCAAAACCTGACAGTTGGTTTCTCACTCTATTACAAGCATTTCAAGAATCTGACTCCACCCAAATGCTACGATAACCAAGGCGTAAAGCCACTTGAAGACCGTATCTGACAGCAGCAGCTTCAACTTGTTCGACACCCCAAACACCATTAAATCTTCGAGCAGCAGCAAACACCAATCCCCCATTGCAATCCCTCGCTACAGCTCCAAGACCAACATAAGATGTTGAAGCTAAATGGGCATCAACGTTAATTTTCAGCACACCTTCGGGGGTCAAAACCAGCTAGATGTCATTGGCTTGTTACAAAGCTGAGCCTTGGGAAACACTTTCCCCGCATAGTTCTTGAAGTCCTCAGCCTTCTTGACAAAGCTCCGGGCCATTATAATCCCATCTAATGATTTTTGCTCAAAAACCCACTTGTTCCTACAGAACCAGATCGACCACATCATAGCCAACAGATCGCCCAACTGAACTTTATCAATCTTGCTCGCCAACCACAGAAGAGAAGACTTGAAAGACAATCTTGGGGCACCATCAATCAAGCTCTCAAAATCACTAGCAGCCCAAACAACCCTTGCAGATTGACAATCAAATAATACATGGTGGATTGATTCAACTTCTACTCCACAGCAGCTGCATAGCTCGTCACCTGCAATGTGACGCTTGAACAGAACCTCCTTTACTGCCATACTCTCCCTACAAGCCTTCCAAAGAAAATGGTTTAGCTTTGGTTGGCGGTCAGGGCACCAAACCAGCTTCCACACCTTCTCATCCTCTTTTGCATTACCATTCTCACCCTCAGAAAGATACCCCAATCGACCCCACCAATAGCCAGATTTAACACTATACTCCCCATTTTTTATAGGCCACCAGAAAATTGAATCATCTTGCATTGTCACTGATGTAGGGAGCTGTAAAATTTTCTCACAGTCAGAAAGTGAGAAGGTTTCTCTAAGAGAGTCAAGATTCCACTCTCCACTACCCTGGTGCATCAGGTCTGCCACAATCAAATCAGGGTCATAGTGAATTCCATGAGAAGGAACAACAGTACTCGGCTTTCCAGGTAACCAAGCATCCAGCCAAACCCGAACATTCCTAGCTACCATTTCCCACTCTCCACTTGAGTCCATCCCGCAGCAAAGATTTGGACCCCATAAACTTCTCCAGGAGTAGCTCGGATCAAAGCCCCTAAGGGCATCAAGGACAGTCCCATTTTTAAAATATCGAGCTTTTAACAGAGAGTGAAGAAGAGAGTTCGGATTATTATGCAGCCGCCATACTTGCTTAGCAAGAAGTGCTTGGTTGAAAATTTTCAAATCACGAAAACCCATGCCCCCTAGAGACTTGGGACGACAGAGGGCCTCCCAACTATGCCAATGCATCTTTCGGGATGAATCATTAGTACCCCACCAAAATCTTGCAAGCAAAGCATGGATTTCATCGAGTAAGCCATCCGAAATTTTGAAAATACTCATCATGTAAGTCGGAATTGCTTGTGCCACGGTCTTAATGAGGACCTCCTTTCCAGGTCTAGAGAGCAATTTTTCCTTCCATCCTTGCACCTTGTTCCATACACGTTCTTCCAAGCAAGCAAAGATAACTTTTTGTGATTTACCTATGATGGCAGGTAAACCAAGGTACTTCTCATGATGGGAAACCTCCCTTACCCCAAGAATATCCACAATTTCCTTCCTTCGATCCACATCAACACATTTGCTAAAGACAACATCGGTTTTATTTAGATTGACACTTTGACCGGACGCTCTTTCGTATGTGCTAATTATATTAGCAATCACCGAGCATTCACTAATCGAGGCCTTTGCAAATCGTATACTATCATCGGCAAAAAATAAGTGAGAAATTCTAGGGGCACCATTGCAAATTTTTGCACCATGTATCAAGTTATCATTAGCTGCTTTTGACAGTAGGGTAGAAAAAGCATCTACTACCAATAGGAATAAATAGGGGAAATAGGGTCACCTTGTCGAAGCCCGCGGGAGGGGATGACCGAACCAGAAATGTGTCCATTGACTTTAAAAGAAAACGACACACTTGATAAGCAATTCATAATTCTGCGTACCCAATCATCACTAAATCCCATTTTATACATGACCTTCTCCAAGAACCCCCATTCAACTCTATCATACACTTTACTCATATCAAGCTTCATGGCAATTGACCCCTCTCTACCTTCACCCTTTCTCTTCATAGCATGGAAAATTTCAAAAGCAACTAAGGCATTATCTGTGATAAGTCTCTTCGGGATAAAAGCACTCTGATTTACAGAGACAATTTTATCCAAAAAAGGTTTTAGTTTATTTGCCATGACTTTTGAAATAATCTTGTAAATGACATTACAACAACTAATCGGTCGAAATTCCGTCATGTATTTTGGATTCTCATATTTCGGAATTAACACTACACAAGTCTTATTTATCTCATTCAAAACCGCATTGCCATTCCACCAATTTTTCACAAAGCCAACGACACCATTACCAACGATATGCCAAAAATTTTGAAAAAATAAGGCATGCATACCATCGGGCCTCGGAGCTTTGTTTGGATACATTTGAAAGAGGGCATTTTTAATCTCCTCTGATGTTGGCTCGGCATTCAAGAGTTGTTCATTTCATCAGACACCACGCAATTAAGACCAGCCATAGCCTGCTCCACGCAATTAGTAATAGTTAATAGAATAGAAGTTGATAATTAGATTTCCTAGCGTAAAAGTTAAACCGATGTAATTATTCTAATACGAGGAGGTTTAATTAAATTTACCTAGGTCTAAAATATTCTCCATGAATGAGAAAATTATTACTGGTAGTATTTCCTCTAGTTAACTACTACTCCCGCCCTGCATTTTTATTTTGCTCCCTCCCCGTCCCCGCCGCCGGCGCCACCGTAATCCTCCATTGCCCCGACTCGTCGACTCCTTCTATTTCTCGATAACACTTTCTCTATCCTAAAACAACCCTTAAAACCCTGATTAAACCTCAATAACATCAATTAAAGTAGTAAATTTGTTGTTAAAGAAGCATGGGTCGTTCAAAAACACCTTCGAAGAAACCGCAACCTCGTGGTGTTGATTTCAAGGTATGAATTAATCTTCCAAGTGTTTTTTGTTGAGTTTTTGATGAATTTGTGATTAATTTTTTTTTTTTTTTTTTTCAGAAATTTAAGAAGAAGTTGGGCAGGAAGTTGCCGCCGGCTCATAATGTTACCAATACTGAAATTAAAACCAAAGGTATTATTATTATTATCTAAGTTTGCAATGTTTTGTATTTACTTTGATTTCGAATTTATGAAATATGAATTACTTTTGAATTTTTGAATTGAGTTGTTAAAATAAAAACTGAATTTTTAGTTATTGTATTTGTCAGTGTTGAAAAATGAATTACTTTAGAAATTGGAAATTTTGATTAATGTCGCGATGTTTGATATGTGTTAATTGGATAGTGGAGGCATATGCATAGTGCTCACTATGCATTGTTAAAACATCAAGCCTAACTTCAAAGAGCATGAAGACTAACTCCGATGAACATAAGAGCTACTTTGTATAACTAAGATGATGTTATGTTCATTGGAGTTTATGTTCAGAAGAGCTAATTCATATAACTAGAGTTTATGTTCGTTGGAGTTAGTCATCACGTGCTTTGAAGTTAGGATTGATGTTCAACGTATGCACATTGAGCATACGTATCCCCCATCATATTTGCAGGGGTATGTGTATGCGCAAGTGCTAAACTGATTTCATGCTGAGTTCCTTTTGTTTTTTGAGCGCATAAATGCTTAATTTTATTAGTCCTTAGTGGTTTACATTCGCAATGGGCGATAAACATTACGGTAGTTATTTAGCTTATATTCCCTTTGTTTCTATTTGTTCTTTCATTGAATTGGTTGTCACAACTCACAAATACAGAGCCAAATTGTGACAATTAATTACTTATGATCTTGATAGATTTTTCCCAATGTGTATTTTTTAAATACTAACTTTGTAAATTTTGCAACCACGTAATTTAAAATATACCTTTTGAAGTTAGCAACCAGGAAGAACAAAATAGAATGAAGGGATTATTAAGTACTTCGAATGTTCTAATGGATCAATAATTCATGTCACTTTGTTTTCAAAGTTTATATTTTAATTTATGTGTTGCTTCAAGGACGAAACATTTTTTCCGCAAATTATCGACTTGAACCGAACCCGACTCGAACCAGAGAATGACCCGACTTGATTATAACCCGCTAATTATTGACTTGAACCGAACCCGACTTGAACTCGAGAATGACCCGACCTGATTATAACCCGTAAATAATTGACTTGAACCGAACCTGACTCGAACCCGAGAACGATCCTAACTTGTTTAAACCCATAAAGACCCAAATTTAGCCCGACCTATTTTTCACCCGACCCGAATGTAACCCGACCTAAACCCGATAAGATGTATGACCTGATGTGACCCGACTCAAGCATGACCCAACCCGAACCCAACCCGCATATGTTATGTCATAACCCGTATTAACCCGACCCGAGATGACACGACTCACACTAACCCGACTCAAACCCGACCCGTTAACCCGAATTGACAGCTCTAGTTGCTTCCCATGATGCAATGGCTGGTTGTTATTTATTAATGGTTTCTTAACGTTCTGGTGTTTGGGCAGCTATAATTCTTCCGGAGCAAAGTGTGGCATTGGATAAAGAGGGTGTTGCTGTGAGCAAGAAAGGCCTTACATTAAAGGAGCTGTTGCAACAAACATCTCATCATAATGTCAAAGTTCGTAGAGGTCTGTGTCGATTTGAAAGCCTTTACTCAATTGGTGGTATAATACATCTCTTTAATGCAGAAATAGTTTATACTTTGTGTGTGCAGATGCATTGGTAGGTATCAAGGATTTATTGCTTAAATTCCCAGCCGAGGTGAAATTGCACAAGAATGCTGTTATTGAGAAATTGCGTGAACGTATCAGCGATGACGATAAAGTAGTTCGTGAAACTCTGTTTCAACTATTTAAGTCCATTATCCTTCCAGGATGCAAGGAGGTAAGTTTTGTTTGTGTAGCTACGTATCTTTTCTTCCCTAGATGATTGGTGGTTTTAGTATTTTACTCTTTTTTTCCCCTTTAAAGTGTGGTAAAGCTATGATGGAACTTGATAATTTTTTTTGCTGATTCTAAAAGTTTGAGTCAAGAATATTTTGTGACATAATTCTTTTGTAGATCTTTTTTTAATTGTTTCATTATCTGTGAATTGCATGTCTAGTATGGGTAGTACTTTAGTACTTTCAAAATATCTTTCAGAAGAAATTATACTTGTAAAACTCTTCCAAGCCTTTTCAGCTGTACTTTTTTTTTTTCTTATTTTTTTTTTTATATAAAGAAGTTTAGTTTCCATGATTGATGTGATGGTGAAACTCAAAGCTTTTTTTTGCCTCTAGTCATAGAACACCTGCTCGCATATAAATAGTACAAAAGCTAAATGACTCATGATTACTGTAGCTTATATACTGAACAAAGAGAAAGGCCTAATAGGTAATGATTAATTCATATATATTATTTGCAATGGTAGTTATCCTATAAAAGTTTTGTAAGCTTAGAATTTTACTTCTTGGTTTAGGTATCTCAATAAGATTAATGCACTTTATGTCCTCCATAGTATGGGCACCATGGATCGACCATTTCATAAAGCATGGCAAACTCTCTCAATTGGGCTATTGTGCTGTAGATTATTGTAGTTGCTATTACTTGATTAGTGGGCAATGTAATCTATGGTTTTATCTGCATAGGCCATAGGGTTGTTCTACTCATTCTTGCTTTATTTTTTCTCCATTTGGATTGATCATGTTCAATTTGTTTGTTTTACTTTATTTGTGATGTTCTCATCTTTATGTTACTTCATTTTATCTTTTGAAGGACATTAAGGGGGCTCCTATATCTCTTATTATGGCGTATATATTCAAAGCAATGACAAATTTAGCAATTGATGTTCGCTTTATGGCTTTCAAATTCTTTGATCTTGTAGTTCAGACTCATCCTCCAGCCTTTTCTACGTATGCTGAAAAGGTATAATGTGATGAGCGTTTTGCTTGTGTTTCAGTTTCTTTATTGTCGAGTTATGAATTAGAATTCTTAGGTGTTTATGGGTATAGTTGCACCCAAGGCTTTATTTCTACTTATTTGCTTCCAAATGAACAACAAAGAAAGTCCAAAATGAGCAAGATATAACAGCTTTGGGTACACCTAGATCTAGGTGTGCATTGTAGTGTGTGCCCGATCAGAAGTATTTGTGGCCTTTATTATGGGTTTTGCCAACCTTGTTTCCTTAGTTCTTGCAAAGTTTTTATCAATGATGGAGTTTATGAGTGAAATCATGATTTGTGAGAAGTCCCAAGAAACCAATTGAACCTTATGCTTTGCTTTTATTTGTTGGCATTGTGATGGGAGAGAAATTGTGACATACTTAAAGATTATATCCAATTGCACTCTTTTGTTAAAATGTTGAATTGAGCTATCTTTTACCTCCTATTGCTCTCATGGTCAGGTTTATTTATTTAATTTATCTACTACTTCCCTTTGCAATGCATTTAAAGTAGTGATTTTAACATCTGTTAGCGTGAAATTGGAAATGGGGAATGAGAAAAACTCAAACAACATATACTAAAGTGCAACGGAACGCGTGAATAAACACTATTAACAGGAGTAAAGTCTGGTAGTTGATTGATTAAAGCTCAAAGGCTTGCGTAGCGTTAATGGCTTGAGGCCATCACTCTCCAAGTGAACAAATACAACTTTCTGAATGCCTACTTCTTTAGAGACAACTACTATTTATACTACCACTAGCTTACAAAAGTTGGCAAGGGCCTTAATTACTTTACTACTTGTCTTCTTCCAAGTTACCACAGTGAAAACCCAATAAGCCAAACTCCCTGCTCTGCTGTTGCTTTAGTGTGCCGTTGGATGAGTGTTGTTGGTGCCTTGCTGCTGTCTTGGGCGCTTGCTGTAAGTCAGAGTGATTGGTGGCCGCGGGTGCATTGCAATACCGCCCCCCAAAAGCGCCACCTTGTTCTCAAGGTGGAAGGCTGGAAATTGCTCCTTGATAAGCGCAGCGTCCTCCCAAGTAGATTCAAACTCCGGCAATCCTTGCCACTTAATCAGTATGGCATAGTCCGGACCATGGCCTGCCAATAGTCTAACCTCCAATACACTTTCGGGCTCTACCACTAACTCAAGTTCCGGAGTGAGTTGCTCTGGTATAGTTGGTGAAACTGGAATTTCTCCCATTGCCTTCTTCAATTGCGATACATGGAACACCGGATGAATATGGCACTGAGAGGGAAGGGACAACCTGTAAGCCACGGCACCCACCCTTTGAACCACCTCAAAAGGCCCATAATACCTGGTCGCCAGTTTCTCGAACGGTCTTTTTGCAAGTGACCGCTGCCGGTATGGTTGGAGTTTGAGGAAAACATGATCCCCCACCTGGAACTCCACCTCACGGCGTTTACCATCTTCGTACCTCTTTCATGATTTGCTGGGCCCGAACCAAATTGGCCTTCAATTCATCGAGCATTAGATCCCTTTCTTGTAGGACCTCTTTACAGTGGTTTGTCCTGTTCCCCACGCGAAACAGCTTTGGTGGTTCTCTCCCATAGAGTGCGTGAAAGGGGGTGAATTGCGTGGATGAGTGAGGGGTGGTGTTGTACGAGTATTCAGCCCACGCAAGCCACTTAGCCCACCCCTTCGGCTGTCCTCCGGCAAAACACCGCAAGTACGTCTCTAGTCTCTTATTCACCACCTCGGATTGGCCATCCGTTTGTGGATGGTAAGATGTGCTCTTCTTCAGCTCGGTGCCTTGTAACCGAAATAGCTCTCTCCAAAAAGTACTCACAAACACGCAATCCCTGATAGAGACGATGCTACTGGGTACCGTGAAGCCGCACTACCTCACGAACAAAAACCTCCGCCACACTAAGAGCCGTAAACGGGTGTTTAAGGCCTATGAAGTGAGCATATTTGGTTAATCGATCAACAACAACCAATATGGTGTCAATCCCTTTGGAACGAGGGAGTCCTTCAATAAAGTCCATGCTTATATCCTCCCATACCCGCTCCGGAACCGGAAGCGGCTGCAATAACCCCCCGGGGATTGTTGTGAGTGTTTGTTCCGTTGACACACTGCACATCCTCTTACATAGTCAGCCACATCTCTTCTCATTCCCGCCCAAAACCACTCCGACCCCATCCTTAGATGTGTTTTTGTTTCTCCAATATGACCCCCCTCTGGTGAATCATGGTAGGCTTGTAACAGAGCTTTCTTCAAACGTGAGTGGCGCGGGATCACCATCCTCCCTTTAAATAACAGTCTGTTATTTTCAAGGGAATAACCCACTGCTCCTTTTCCTCTTTCAACTTCCTCTCTCAATTTCTGCAGTTGCACGTCCCCCTCAATTTCTTTCTCCAACACTTCCCAATTCACGGCTTGCGTGGTTACCATCACTTCAAGTTCACCACTAAATCTGTCCTCTCCTCTCCTTGATAGGGTGTCGGCCACCCTATTCGAGACCCCAGGCTTATATTGTAGATCAAAGTCAAAGCCGATTAGCTTTCTCACCCATTTTTGATACTCCGACCCGACCTCTCTTTGTTGTGTAATGAATTTGAGGCTTTGTTGGTCACTCCTCACGATAAACCTCCTCCCCAACAAGTAATGCTTCCATTTTTGAACCGCCAAGCACACCGCCATTAGCTCTTTTTCATAAATTGACTTTGCTCGGCCAACGGGGCCCAAAACCTTGCTGAAAAAGGCTATAGGTCGTCCTTCTTGCATGAGTACGACCCCTAGTCCAAATCCCGATGCATCCGTCTCTAACACATAAATTTTCTGGAAATTCGGCATGCTAAGCACAGGAGCAGTAGTCATGACTTCTTTTAATTTTTGGAACGCTGCTTCTGCCATAGGAGACCACCCATAATTATCTCTTTTAAGCTGCTCCGTTAGCGGTTGGGCTATATGGGCATAGTTACTAATAAACTTTCTATAGTAACCGGTTAAGCCCAAAAACCCTCTTAATTCTTTTAAGGATTTTGGAGTGGGCCACTCCACCATTGACTTAATCTTGTCTTGGTCCTCTGCCACTCCCTCATGTGAAATGATATGGCCCAAATAAGCCACTCTTTCTTTGCCAAACTCAACACTTTTTTTGATTGGCATACAAGGTATGTTTTTGAAGAGTTGCTAGCTCGGCTTTCAAATGTGTCACATGCTCCACTTGGCTAGCACTATACACAAGTATATCATCAAAAAATACAAGGACAAATTTGCGTAAAAAGGGACGAAATACCTCATTCATCAAAGATTGGAAGGAAGGTGGCCGGTGCATTGGTTAATCCGAACGGCATAACGAGGAACTCGTAGTGTCCTTCGTGAGTCCAAAACGCGGTTTTATGCGTGTCCTCCGGTCGAACCAAAATTTGGTGATACCCCGCCTTGAGGTCCAACTTAGAGAAAACCCGAGCCCCGTGTAACTCATCCAAGAGCTCATCGATGACCGGTATCGGGTATTTATCTGGCACCGTCTCCTTGTTGAGAGCACGGTAGTCTACGCAAAACCTCCACGAGCCGTCTTTCTTCTTCACTAATAACACCGGGCTAGAGAAGGGACTTGTTGACGGCTTAATTATACCGGCCTCTAACATTTCCTTGATGAGTTTCTCAATTTCATCCTTTTGAAATTGTGGATAGCGATAGGGTCGGACGCTAACCGGATTACACCCTTCCTTAAGTACGATCGCGTGCTCATGACCACGGTTCGGTGGTAGCCCCTTGGGTTCCTCAAACACCCCCCCATATTCCTCAACTGCTTCTTGTAAAAATTCTGGCACCTGCCCTCCTTTAGGCTCACCTTTGCTCCCTTCGATTCTGCTCAACTCAACCAGTAAACCACCATTTTCCTTTCTCATAGTACGGATCATAGCTTTTAGTGTGACACCTGTTCTTGCGAGGCTCGGACCACCATTAATGGTGACTATCTCTTCCCCCCTCGTGAAGCTCATCCTCTGTAATTTCCAATTTGTTACCACCTCACCTAATTTCTCCAACCATTGGACGCCCAATATGACGTCAGAATTGCCCAGTTGTAGCGGCAAAAAAATCCTCTTCGACCACCAGTCCCCCATTCAGTCGTACCCCATAGCATACCCCTCTCCCCTTAATTGCTTCGTCGTTGCCCAATGACACACCAAAAGCGGTTGTGTCGGTGATCGGAATCTTCAATTTGCTCACAGTCCCCGTAGATATGAAGTTGTGGGTGGCTCCGGGGTCCACCATCACCACCACCGGAGTCCCCTGTATCTACCCCGTCAGTTTCAATGTCTTCGGGCTCGTTAATCCCACGATCGAATTCATCGTGGTGGTCGTCGAAATTTCCTCCTCTTCCTCCGGCGTCTCCAACGCCCCAAATTCTCCGGCCTCGTCGACCTCCTCCTCTTCCACCAGTAGCACACTCAACCCCTTTGGCGGCGCAGACATGGGTGGGGCCGGTCCATCGCCCGTCGCACCGAAAGCAGAGCCCTTTGGCTCGTTTTTCTTGGATTTCTCGTTCGGTCAATCGCCTGACTTCCCCGCTGAATCTCGACGAGCCTGGATAGGTTCGGTTTGAGTAGGATCGGGTTGGATTTTGGGTTTGGTTGTTTACAGAGGCTGTTGAAGTCTGTGGGCAGTACTGGTTTGTGGGTTGGGTCGGTTTGGGTTGGGGTGGTAAGTGTTTGGGCCATGGCTTGGGTTAGTGTTTGGGTTTAGGGAAAGGGTTTGGCTGGATTGTGAGTGGGCCGGCCAGCACCCAGTATAGTAGAAGCTGGCTCCGATTTAAATACGAGTATGGCCCAGGCTTAACAAAAGCCCCGCCCGATTTGAGACCGTTAACCCGATTACGCTCCTCGACCCGTATTGCCAGGTCCATGGCGTCTTTCAACGTTTACAGGTTAAGTAAACGGATCTCCGCCTTCACTTCCTCCTTGAGTCCGTTTATGAACTGACCTTTTAAAAGGCTTTCCGGAATATCAGC